ATAGTATCTGTAGAAAAGAGAAAGAGATGCAACTTTACAACGATGGGAAAGAGGTTCAAGCTTAGCAGATAGTCCAGGTCCAACAACATTTACAATGCGTTTTTGGACCTTGTCAAGAAGAGAGAGTGAATCGTTAGAAGAACCAGCCCAAATATGACAACAGTATTCCATACAGGGACGAATAAGAGATTTGTAGAGGTAGAGAATGGAATCAGAAGTAAGGAAATGGCGAGCACGATAAAGAGAAGCAACCTTAGCAGAAGCTAATTTAGCAATCGATTGTATATATGGTTTCCATGAAAGGTCAGTAGTAAGCGATAATCCAAGAAGACGTAAAGAGGAGGACTCAGTAAGAGGATTGCCATTCATTAATATAGGAATGTTGACCATACTACGGTAGTTATTTGCAGTAAGCAATTGGGTTTTTTTAGAGTTGAAATTCACAAGCCACTGTGAACCCCAATCTATTACTGAAGTGAGATCAGATTCAAGATCAGCTGCTTGTTCTAGGCGATCGAAAAGAGAAGATTTTTTGTCAAGACAGGAGTATAAAGTTGAGTCATCAGCAAAAAGAGCTACTTTAGATGAAAGGTTGTCAGGAAGATCGTTTATGTAGATAAGAAACAAAACAGGGCCCAGGATGGAACCTTGGGGAACCCCAGAAGTTACTGGAAATAAAGAAGAGTGTTGGCCTTCAAGGATGACTTTAATAAACCGGTCAGAAAGAAATGATTTGATAATCTCAAAAACTTTCCCAGAAACACCATATGAAGCAAGCTTATGGAGAAGACCAGCATGCCAAACTTTGTCGAAAGCTTTAGATATGTCGAGAGCAATAGCCCTAGCCTCACCGCCTCCATCTAATGCACAATAAAATCTTTCAGTTACAGCAGTTAGCAAGTCGGCCGTAGAGCGAGAGGATCGATAAACCGTATTGATTGTCTGACAGCAGTTTATTTGACTCAAGATGAGATGTGAGGAATTTGTTGATTAAAGACTCAAAGACCTTGCTAATAACAGAAAGAAGACTGATCGGACGATAATTGGAGGGGTCAGAATTTTCTCCAGAGTTTTTGAATATTGGAACCACAGATGCCATTTTCCAACAAGCAGGAAAACAAGACTCAGTCAAACACTTGTTAAATAGTTTAGAGAGAATTGAAGAAAGTTCTGGAGAACTATTCTGCAAGACTGTGACAGGAATGTTGTCTGGACCACAAGCTGTAGACGAGTTTAATTGAGATATGACTTTAGCAACAGAAGCCGGAGTGATTTGAATGTCTAACAATGGGTCAACCTGTTTGACTGGAATGGAAGGAAGAGAATGTCCATAAGATTCAAGAGTGGAATTAGAAGAAAAGTTCTTTGCAAACAGTTCTGCCTTATCCCTGGGAGAGGTAACAAGATCAGTCCCATGAATGAGAGATAGAATGTTAGATTTACCCTTTTTAACAATGCTGTTGAAGATTTTCCAAAAGTCTTTAGAGCCTAACTTCTGCGATAAGATGCGAGATTTAGTGAACTGAGAATAATGGAGTTTAGCATCAGAAAGCACCTTTTTACATCGATTTCTTGCAATAATAAATAGCCGTTTGTTCTCAAGAGAGTTGTTCTTTTGAAAAAGATGAAAAAAAATAGTTACGATTGGATATAGCAGCCGCACAAGAAGGAGAAAACCATGGAGTAGAATGAGGCTTGACTTGAAACCGACGAGAAGGAATAAAAGCTTCCATTCCAGCCTGAATCCAGGAGGTTACGTAGGAGGCACATTTGTCAGCTGAGAGAGAAAAAACATCAGCCCAAGGACCATCACGAAGAAAATCACGAAAGGAATCCCAGTCAGCTTTAGGGTAGTAGTAGGTGGTGCGATGATAAGGTGAGCCCAAAAAAGAAGTACGAGAAGAAAGATTTATACAGATCATGGCATGGTCAGAACCACCTAAGGGAGAAAAGGGAGAAACTGAACATAAACTAGGGTCAGAGACAAGACATAAGTCAAGGAGTGAAGGTAAATGATTAGGGTTGTCAGGAAAACGAGTCACAAAGTTAACTACCTGAGTAAGAGATTGAGAAACGCAGAAGTTAAAGGCTTTAGTGCCAGCAGGATCAGTGGTGTTAGAGCCAAGCCATTCAGTGTGATGGGCATTAAAATCACCGACAACAACAATATTGGTAGAGGGGTAAAGAGAGAGGGCATGGTCAATTTGATCAGAGATAACATCTAAAAGAGTGCAATCATGGGAAGAAGGAGAACGATAAAGAACAAAGAGAAAGGTGATAGAGTGAAGAGGTGCTAGGCGAAAGCACATAAAAGAATGGTCAAAGGATTCGAACCTGATTTCACGACAAATAGGGGAATTAATGCGTATGTATACCCCTAAACCTAGCATGTGACTATTGGAGTCTTTACGAATCAAAGGATAGTACCCATCAACACTGACATCTGAAGAAGGAATTGCAGAACTTAAATTTGTTTCACTGAGTGCAAGCAAGTCTGGTGAATTTTGCAGGAGGTAAGACTCAACTGATGGAGAGTTGCTTCGTAGACCGCGAATATTTGTAAAAGATATATTAAAATATTTAGGTGGTGGGGATGGTTTTTTAGGTTTTAAATTTTTGGTTACTTTGGTCATGATTTGGGTTTAATGAGAACTTGACTCATTCATAGATAGAGCACAGCCTCCTAATTAATGAGCTATGCAGTTGTCTCAGTCCTGTTAATTAACCCTAAGCCGTGATATAGGGCTCCTTATGTGGCCTTGACAATGCACACCAAAAGCATTAACAGGGACACCATCCATGCGCAACATGGCACTGTTAATACTCTGATATTTTGCAGCTGTTGATGGAATCAGCCTCTCTGAGAGCTACCACAGAGTTCGGGAAACCTTACTACCAGCCGGCCTCAGAACCATTAAGCTGAGTTTTAGAGCTGTACCCTCATATGGAGATAACAGGAAGAGTTGCATAGCCATTATTAAGGAGGCATAAGCAAAATTCTATGAGTAGAGTCAAGGAGATCCAGCATTCATCATCCTAGGCAGGAAACAATGTAACGCAGGTTACATCTACGCCAGCCTAATAGATGAAGAAGGGGTTCGAGGCTGGTTAGCAGAATTTTTCTGCTTACCCCTAAAGTCTTTGCCTAGGAGGCCTTCTACAAGACAGTAGCAGAATGCAGTTAACATCTGCCCAAGATGAGTGTTTTTAACGAGACACCATCTCTAGCCTTTACTCAATCAAGAGCCCCAAGGCAGGGGAATTTTTAGTCGGAGTTTATTTTTCCTAGCCTTTGCAGAAGAAGAGCACACTCTGCAAGGCAGCAGGGCTTGTGGCAGGTGGTACTGGGTTACGTGATACCAGTAGCAAGATTGATCTCGATTATCCTGACCTGACCTGGAGTAGTTAAAAGGAGCTACTTCCCGCAACAGTACTTTGAGAAAACCAGGCATGACATTTTGGAAGTGCATAAGGAAAAACACTGCATCTAACAAAATACAGGAGTCTAAGGTGAGTGTACGTTTTGTAGTTGGAGTAAGTAGTTAGTTACTGAGCTCACGCTGCATTAGAGTATAAACAGAACACAAACAAACATAAATCAACTTACGGGTGAGTCAACACCGCACCAGAGGTTCAGACAGAACACAAACATACATAAAAAACATAAAGTAACTTACGGGTGAGCGAACACCGCGCCAGAGGTTCAGACAGAACACAAACATACATAAAAAAACGTCAAAAACATAAACATAAAGTAACTTACGGGTGAGCGAACACCGCGCCAGAGGTTCAGACAGAACACAGACATACATAAAGAACATAAAGTAACTTACGGGTGAGCGAACACCGCGCCAGAGGTTCAGACAGAACACAAACATACATATAACGTAGATTACAGGTGAGCTAATTCAGTAACTAAGGCACCTCCAACTATATGGGAAAAAAAAAAAAAAAAAAAAAAAAATTACTATAGGCATGACTGATATAAGATAGTACTGATGACAGGAAGAACACTCTTTCCAGCCTTTGCTTAAGCAAATCCTGCCTTGCAGGATGCACTACATAAAATTCAAAAAATACAACTGCTGCAACGTTTTGCTACTAAAGGAAAAAAAAACATGCGCTGACTTGCCTCCCAATATTGAAAACGCTCTAACAAAAAAAAAGTGACGTTGCCAAATATAAAAAGTATGTAAAAACATTAGAAAAATGTCATATTTTATACTTAAAATCTTTTAACTGTGATACTTGTGAAAATGTAATAGATATTTGAACTCAATCCCGGAAAATAATTTTCTTAAATCTATAGTCTAATAATTTGAACACGTCTGTAGGTATATTCAATGAAAAACATTGAGTAATTTGAGCATGCTCATATTATACACAAATCATATTTTTAAATAATGTTTCTATGGATTGTTTTTCAAACGAAAACAAAACAGATTTTTAGCTAACATATTTTGCTTTATGAAAAATGAAATTTCATTATTTTAGCATCAAAATTTCGCACCACATTTATTCATGTATGATGATAATATCTTAACAACGCAAAAAATTTAATAGCTTCTTAGATAGATGAGAGCCGCTAATTACTGAATATAAATTTACGCTAATTACATTGATTCCTGTTATCACTACATAAAATTCAAAAAATACAAAGCAATTATAACTTCACTGCTTACACCTTTTTAAAATCTTTAAGTATGCTCATTTTTACCGAGGTACTCATATTACTCTAATCTGAACAAATAAAACATCTGAATTAAAACTAATAAAACTTAATGAAGCTGTTCAAAGTTAAATTATAAAACTAGTAAAAACTGGCTTCATTTTTCAGAGCCGACGGTTTAGAACTTGTAAAAAATTTAAAAAAAAACTCACACTTTTCAAAACTGACAATTAATAATATTTCAAACACTAATTTAGATTTATATAATTTATTCTAATATAACATGGACAGCAATACTTTATAAAACCCATTTTAAATATTTTCTACAAACCTTGATTTCTCAAGTTCACAACCAGTACCACTTTTAAGCTTGCTTCTAATTATCCACATTAGATACAACAATATAAGTACATTATTCTAACAAACAAAAAGATAAAAATAAAAAAAAATAAAAGTTATTTAAGATTATATTTAAAAGATGCTAATTATTGTGTTATAATAAGTAACTAAGATAAAATTGTACACTGCATAATTACTGTTTTAACAGTAATTATTCAAGCAATTGGAAAAAAGGGATACAAAGCTACCAATTCTTTAAAATACATTATGGCACAGTTTTTACATTAATTTGCACACAACAACACTTTTATTTTTTTAACCCTTAAACCCTACCGAAACCGGTTTGAATAAATTGTTAGGAGAGACTTTTTTGTACTCAAAACTTCTTTTTTTTTTTTAAACAAAATCTCATTTAAAACCTATAAAAGAATAGTGGTAGGGTACTTCATGAGAGGTATGTAATTCAAACCCAACACATCCCAAAAAGTGCCATGCTCAACTTGTTTCACTCTGCGACAGACTTGTAGATTGATCAAAATCAAGTCTTGTGTTTCATAGAACACAATTAGTTTATTTATAGTATACTAGTATAAAAATAACTGAAACTAAAATCGAACATTAATTGTAGTTATTTTTAAAAATTCTTTGCAGTAACGTAAACAATAAGAAAAAATAATTAAATTGTTTCTTTAAAAGTTAATATAAATTTTTTATTTAAAGACATTTATAATAAAAAATTCATAATTATGTAAATATAAAAAAATGTGTATGGTATTTAATAATACTTTGATGAAAAGATGATTAACAATGGATTTGTTACTTTATTTAAACGCATTTCAATAATATAAAAACGTAAGTAAAGATCAAAGTTATTTAATTTACACGGGTTTCAAAAATTCATTTATTTTATTCTCAACAAAATCTTTCTCCTTTTTGAATGTATTAACTTTAATGATTCTTATATAAAAATTCATTAAATTGATAATCATTATTTAAAGCCATTGCTAATAAAATTTAAAATATTGTTATTATCATTTTTAATTACATTTATTATAAAAAAAACTATATAAATAAAAAATGTATACATCTTTTATTGATACTTTAATTAGAACCATTATTTACTTTATTTAAAATCGCTTTAATATAAAAACATTTTAAAAGATAGACATGTCAAAGTAGGTTTACATTTATTAAAAACTGCAGTCAAATTATCAAAACAAAATATTATTTGCATGATCATAATAATGCTTGTTTTCGCAGACCCTCTTAGTCAAGCCTGCTTGAACAATTCTCAAGATGCTATTCAGATAAAGTGTGCTTGTATTTTAAAAGTAGAAAGCGAAATCCAGGTAAAAGAATAAATATTATTTTTGGTTAGTAGGATGAGATTTTTTTTAAAATTTAGAATGATTTGTTTACCAAATTGAATAATTACTGAATGTAAACACTTACTATTTTAAAAACAAATTTTCAACTTTGCACACTCAAAAAGAAAATACTTATTATTGATTTTTTATGGAGAAATAAATTTAGATTTTAAATTATTCAAATTTTTCTGATCAGTCGAAACAAGGGTTATAATATTTTTTTAAACTCATATGCCCCTGGTCATAAAAGAAAAGTTTGGTACAAAAACACTGAAATGGACATTTATTTATAATTTTATTTCAAAAACCTCTGCTAGGACCTCAAAACACTACTTTGTTACAAAAGTATAGTAAAAATTGAATAGCAATTAGTATAATACAATGCAATAAAAATTAGCCATTGTATAACACAATACATAAAAATTAATTGCTTTATAAATTAAATTTAAAATTGATTTTTCCAGGACTTTTACACTTTTTTTCTTCCAAGATTTAATTGGCTGTTTATAGCACGAATAATACGCCATTTTGTTAAAACAGGAGTATTGTCTTAATTCCAATGTTTCTTCAAAACTGTTTACACCTTCTTGTGTTTGTTTAAGCTTTCATTCAATTTGATTTTAACTTTGATAACTTAGATTTTATATAGATATAAAAAATTGAATCAAAGTTTAAACAGATCTGTATTCTTCATCAAATTGGTCAGTGAACCAAACATCAAAGCAAATTCCACAAATCAATTCACAAATTAGAGCAAGTAGTGATCTTGGAGCTAAACACAAGCAAGTAAAGCATATATTGGTATAAAGTCCACCTAGCATTGCATATATTAGATAATGTTTTATATCTAATAAAGTGAAATAAAGCACGTTTTTAAAAAGAATCATAAAATGAAATACACCATGTGAAATAAATTATGAAAATATCATTGCATATATTAGGTAATGTTTTAAATGTAATAAAGTAAAATGACACATATTTATGATAATATCACAATGCATTTCCCAATTCATACAAAAATTGCTTATCATTGCGCCATCAATGTTATTAAATTTTAATTTTACACCATACTTTAAAAGACATTTCTTGCATTTCACTAATTTTTTGTACAGAATAAATAAGATTGTACAGAATAAATAAGATCCCACGGTTGATATGATATATAGCAAACTTCATGGTGTTAATTTTTTAAGATAACAAATGGCATTTCTGGTTTGTTAATTTTTGAACATAACTTGCATTTCTTGTTTGTTAATTTTTTTACATTTGAAGTGAGGAGCCCAATTTTCAATTTTCAAGTTTATTTAAACTCATGTATCATTTTCTGTGATTATTTAATAGGTGCGTTATATATTGCAGATTGAGTTGGTGTCTACACCTCCTCTGTCAGAAAGTTGTTTGCAAATTTTTTCTTATTTAGAGGAATTTCAAATATTCTGTTTCACCAAGTGAACTGCAGTTTCTGTAGTTAAATATTGCTTGGTCTTTCTTTTTTTAGCAGGAGGTTTCATGTTAAAACCACAGTCAGTGGTATCACTGTCTGAGGCTTTAGGATATTCTAATAAATTGGAAACAATTTAAGATTTGTCATCTTTGTTTTATGAAAGAAAATTACATGCTAGAAATATTTCCTATGAGAACTTTTGATGGTTGTACTTTTACTTGTATTATTGTTGCATAGCTTACATCTTTGAATGATTTAATCTGCATTTTTAAAATTATTTCTTTTTAGTTGGTAACCTGATGCTATTTATTTTTGAAATATCAAAAGCATTTGTAAATATAATATCATGATGTTCCTTGTTTTGTTTTTTTTGTTTTTTTTTTATAATTTTATTTCAAAATCATACTTTTTAATTAAAGCTTCAATCTTTCTTACTATTGACTGTTCAGTTAGAGAAGTAAATACCATTGCCACAAAGTTTTTATTTCAAAAAAATTCAACAGAAAAACATTTCTTTTGAACTATTTTTAACAGTTTTGTAGAGCTTTTCATTATATCTACATATGAATCAGTGCTTTTTAAAAACATGGATTTACGCAAATCCGTCCTTTTAAAAAATACTGATTTATATTTGATCAAGTATTAATTTGAATTTAATTTATTTGTAAACTTCAGCACCAGGTAAACAACCATTTTTCAAATAATTTGATTATGCTAAGGGCTGTCCCAAGGAGGAGGGGTGCCCAAACCCCCTTGTAAATTAATTAGTCAGCAAATTTAGACTCTGCAGTTGACAAATGCAATTTTGTCAACTCCAGAGTCAGAGAATGAATTAGGTTACAGTTGGCAAATGTTAGCCAACGAGGGCCTTTTTTTTTTTTAAAGAACTAAGTTCTCTGATTATGTCTTTGTTTTAAGTTGTTGAACTTTGCTAAAATTGTTTGTAATAAACTATAACAAACTAATAAAAATTGATAAATCTCACTTGCTTCTGAAAAATTGATAAAATCTCACTTGCTTCTAATAAATCGATTGTTTTTTTTGATAAATAATAACTGATTATGATTTTTTCAATCAGTTATAATAGTTTTCAATAAGAATCTCAACATTTCTTTTACCGTAGGGGTATATCATTTCGTTTAGTCGAATTGAAGGCCTTTAAGGATTTCATTGAGTCGCTCAATTCATCAAACGCATCTGTTATCCCGAATGCTAAAGCCTTATCAGGATCTCTGCTCGACAAACAATACACAAAATGTTCTACTTCTGTAAATGAAATTTTGAATTCTGAAACAAACTTAATACTGATGTCTGACAGCTGGATGAACATAAGAGGCAATCACATAGTGAATTTTTGTATTAAAGCACCCAATCAGAAGTCTTTTTTTTACACCTCGACAAATACATCTGGAATCATTCAAAATTCATCTGCAGTCGTCGCGGCAATCTTACAAGTTATTGAGAAGATTGGCTCACAAAAATTTACCAGTTTCATTAGCGACAATGCTCCTGTTATGAAATCAGCGTGGAGGATCATCGAGGAGAAATATCCACACATTTCGGTTAGCGGATGCGGAGCTCATGGAGTCAACTTGCTTGTGAAGGACAGTTTCTACAACTGAGGCCACAAAAACAGTCAAAGATGCAGAGAGAATCATCAAATATGTGAAAAATCATCACATCGTGAAAGTAAAGTTTGATGAAAAACGAATTGCAGCAAATATTTCTCTTTCATTGTCCATGCCTGTATTTACATGATGGTTTAGTTATTATAAATCAATGAGCAGTCTCCAGCTATCAAAATACGTTCTTATTAAGTTGGTAGACAAACAAAGTACATTACTGAAGGAAATTCAACCTAAGAATACATCTGCTGATGTTATGGCGTTGATAAAATCTTACCCATTTTGGGACCGTCTCTCTCAGCTTGTCAAAAGCATTGAATTTCTTTCTAATGTGATCGGAAAGCTAGAAAGTGATGAAGCTCCATTGTCTCTCGTGTATGATTACTTTGGTCAAATGCACAATTCATATATGGACAATAAAGACATACAACAGTGCAATCTCGCCTCAATTTTCTCTTTACACCAGGTATTGGAATTGCTTATAAATTAACGCCCAAAAAAGCTGCAGAAGGTTTATATTTGAATGAATACAAAACCGATTTTATCACTGCTACAGTTGAATTCGTCAAAAAGATCAAACCTGAAATTGCTGACACTGCTGAGAATGAATTGATTGCTTTTATAGGAGAAATGGCTGCGCTGCCTGAGAGAAGAAAGAAAACAATATTCAAGATAAACGCCCGATTTAATTGGAACATTATCATTCGCAATAAATACCATGCTCTTTAGGAAATTGCTAAGCCTATTAACGAAATGATCTGCTTATCGGCTACAGCAGAAAGAGCTTGGTCGACCTTTTGATTTATTCACTCGCGACTAAGAAATTGTCTTACGAATGAGAGAGTTGAAAAGCTGGTATTCTTGTATACCAATAGCATGCTGATGGACACAAAGGACAAGACTGATTACATTCTTGAAGAAGGTGCAATTCTCAATGAAATTGAATGTCAAGAAATCACTGAATAGGCGCCAGCATTATATTTTTTTATTACTGCAAGAATCTTTGAAAACTCCTATTGTTACTAATCACTGAATTTATAATAAAGTTAAAGTATTACTTAAAACATTTTTTAAGTTTAAAACTTTTTTTGTTGATTTCAAAAAATCGTCTGCAAAGCAGTAAATTTTGTCGGCGCCGACGTCTGCCCAGACATCTGCGCAGACAAATTACATTTTCTGCGCATATCTGCACAGACAGTCCAAACCCTAGAAATAAGTCAGATCTTTACCATTTAAATCACTAACTAAAAGCCATGGCAAATAAAAAGCCACAACTTGAAAGTAAAATCAACCTATTAAATTTTTAACAGGCAATTTCCAAGTTTCCAAAGAAATAATAGATTTTAATAATATTATCAACACTAAAAATATTAAAATTATTATTCCTTATTTGAATTTTAAAATATATAAAAAGAAATTCTCTTTATTGGCTTTTAGAACAAATTGCATAATACACTTTATATTATATATATATATATATATATATATATATATATATATATATATATATATACGAAAAATCATGTGACTCTAAAAGAGTAAGTTTAATTACATACGCCAACTAATAAGTACATTGGTACAAAAATTGCATAATATATCCGAGAATCACTATGATTATTCCAACATCTGAAAAATTAACAGATTAAAAAATTAACAAAGATAATAAAATCTTTATTATCAAGAAAATTATTATTAACCAATAACTTACACTGTAAAACGTTTATCTGCTGAGTATTGGAGCATTAATGGTAAAAATATTGCAAAAGATATTATGGCAGGTACAACTAAAGAGAAACACACTAAAACATTTATGTTTTTATATATATATATAAAAACATAAATGTTTTTATATATATATATATATATATATATATATATATATATATATATATATATATATATATATATATATATATATATATATATATATATATATATATATGTATATATATATATATTATATATATACATATTTGTTTATATACAGATATGTATCAGGTTTTCACA